CCCCTCCTCCTCCCCCCCCCCCCGGGAGGAGGACGACGCCCCCTCCCGCGCAGGACGGGGGCTGCCCTCCGCGGCCCCCTGGGCGCACGCGGTCCTCGGACCGATTCTGCCGGATGTACGCCTGCAGGTCCTGGCCGGCGTCCGCGGCCTCGGCGGCCTGGGCCCGGCGGCCGGCGGCGGACCCTTCGACGACGACGACGACGACGACGACGACGACGACGACGACGACAAAGCCGACAAAGACGACCGACACAGGCGACGACGACGACGACGACGACACAAACGACGACGACGACGACGACGACGACGACGACGACAAAGCCGACAAAGACGACCGACACAGGCGACGACGACGACGACGACGACGACGACGACGACGACACAAACGACGACGACGACGACGACGACGACGACGACGACGACGACGACGACACAGACGACACAGACGACGACGACACAGACGACACAGACGACACGGACGACACAGACGACGACGTCACGAGCGACAACGACGACGACGACGACAAAGACGACGACAAAGACGACGACGACGACGACGACGACGACGACGACGACGACGACGACGACGACACAGACGACACAAACGACGACGTCACGAGCGACGACGACGACGACGACGACGACGCTGCCCCGAGCCCGCCCTGACGATCTGAATTTTTCAATCTGGGCGTTTCTCCTCGATGTTGGCCGCCAGGGCCCGCCACGGGGGCACAGCGGCACCAAAGACAGGCCCGGGGCGCAGAGGTGCCCCAGGGGTAGAGGGTCGCCAAGAAGAGCCCCACGAGGCCCCAGCACATTGTCTGCTTCTCCGGGGCACCTGCTTTGCAGAAGGAGGAGGGCCATGAGGTGATGCCGCTGAGGCTGATGAGGATGCGGATGCGGATGCTGATGCTGATGCTCATGCTGGCTCTGGTGCTGGTACTGATGCTGATACTGATGCTGATGCTAGTGCTGGTGATGATGATGATGCTGCTGCTGATGATGATGATGATGATAATGATGATGATGGTAATGGTGCTGGTGATGATGATGGTGATGGAGGTGATGGTGATGGTAATAATGATGGTGTTGACGATGATGATGACGATGATGATGATGATGGTGATGATGATGATGAATATGAATATGAATATGATTACGCTGATGATGATGAGGAGGATGGGGAAGTATGGTGATGTTGACGATGGTGGTGATGGTGAGGATGATGATGCGGATTATGATGATGACGATGACGATGACGATAACGATGACGATGATGATGACGATGATGACGATGACGATGATGATGATGATGATGATGATGATGATGATGATGATGATGATGATGATGATGATGATGATGATGATGGTAGTGGTGATGATGATGGTGATGATGATTACAATGATGACCATGACGATGATGATGATTATGGTGATGATGATGATAGTTGTGATGAAGATGGTAATGATGATGATAATGATGATGGTGGTGATGATGATGACGCTGGCTGTGATGATGATGATGGTGATGATTATGATGATGGTGATGATGATGATGACGCTGGCGGTGATGATACTGGTGGTGATCATGATTGTGGTGATGGAGATGATGGTTATTATGGTGATGCGGATGATGATGATGACGCTGTTGATAATGCTGTTGGTGATGACGAAGATGAAGATGACAATGGTGATCATGATATCGATGGTTTTGCTGGCACGCCCGTCACCATGCGCCTCTTCAAAGGAAGAGCCGTCGGCATGACCACCCTGCAGGAGCCCGCCCGGCCCCCTCCACAGGCCAGGGATGTCCGCCAGCGCGCTTGCAGCGGCCAGTAGGCGGCGCTTCGTTTTTAGGTTTGAATTGCTCCTCACACGTCGCGAAGCAACGATTGTGCCACACACACACACACACACAAACAAACAAACAAACAAACAAACAAACACATGACACATACATACACACACACACACTCACCTCCTCGTTCTCCCCCTCTCGCTCTTACACACACGCACACACACACACGCACACACTCTCCTTCCTCCTCCAGTGGTCAGCACAGGACGCCACAGAAACACACACACACACCTATTTGGGCAGTAGCGGCCTCGCGCGCAGCGATGACAGTGCAACAATCAGAGCAGCGCGTGCGACGGCCAAGCAATCAAAACACACACACACACACTCCAACGCACACACACACACACAGACACAGACGACCGACAGATCCCCTGTATGACAACGAAGGTCGTTTCGTCGTTTGCCTTCCTATTCGGGATTGCTCATTCCGCTCGGGGGGGGCCGGGGGGGCCCACGAGTGTTCCAAGCCATCCCGGGACGGGGCCAGGGCAACGCGGCCGCGTCCGTGCGTTCGCTGTCCAGACAGCCCTAAGACCCAACCGAGAAACCGTAAGGGCCACAGAAACGCCCCAGAGGCGTTCATGGAGTTTTCTAGGAAGCGTCTGGGAGGCGAATACAGCTTAGACGACATATAGATTGCACGATAGAAGATAGAAAACTGACTCGTTGGAATCCGTCCGCTTCGGGCGGCTGGGCAACGGCCCCGGACGGCCTCCCAACGGTCTAGGAAGCTCTCTGCAGTGTTTCTCTAGCCATCTTTGCTGTGCAACCTGACTGCGCAATCTGTGCCAAGCAATCTACGTGGTGCTGAATGTGGTGCATTCTACGTGGTGCAATGTGTATATATATATATATACATATATGTATATATATATATCGTACTATACATATATATAGAGATGTTGAATGCGTGATGTGCAACATACGTTTGTCATGTAGGTTGTGCGATATATGTGGAGCAACCTGTGTGGTCCGAGATGTGAAGAGCCAACTACGTTGTGAACTCGACGTGGCGCACTTACTTTTTTATTCGCTGTGGATTGTCAAATCCCCTGCCCGCGCAATCATACCACCCAGCCGCCCGCAATTTGGCTTGCACAGCCCATGCGGCCGGCGGCGATTGTGATGACTGCTTGGCGATGGCTGCCGACTTTGAGGCTGCGTTAACGCGCGCAGGTTCGCGCGCACAACGGCCAGCTATTTTGACGCGACCGACGCGGCCACGGTGGCGCTGACCACTGGACACTTGCAGCGCGTCTCGCAGGCCGCGCTGACGCGCGGGCACTTCAGTGCGAGTCGGTGACTCGGGCGGGCGCGGTCTCATCGCGACGTCGACACAGGCAGCCACGATAATGATTGCAGCGATGCTAGTGACAACGACGACTTTAACCACGGCAAGGCAAATAACGGCGCCGATGCTGATGACGCCGATGACGATGATGGTGTCCACGCGTCGGTAATGAAGGCTTCGGCAGGATTTCGACATGCGCACACTGCCGACGGGCGCAGCTGGCCCGCATTGTATCATTTGACAGGGATCGTGCCTCCCGGCACCCGCGCAAGGGCGTTCAAATGATTTCGGCATGCGCGCACGAGAAGCCCGTTCGGTCGCCTGTCATAAAATCAGCCCGGCGAAGGACCCGACCATCTGCAGTTGTGAGCACCGTCGTTGTGAATAGCACCTTCGGTGGATTTCCGTATGCGGCCTCGGAGCGTGTGACGGAGGAGGGAGGGAGGGAGGAGGGAGGAGGAGGGAGGAGGAGGGAGGAGGAGGGAGGAGGGAGGAGGGAGGAGGAGGGAGGAGGAGGGAGGAGGAGGGAGGAGGGAGGAGGAGGGAGGAGGAAGTGAAGGGAGGGGGCCAGCAGCAGGGGCCACCGGGACAGTCGGTGGCGCACCCTGTGGGGCCACACGAAACGTGTGGGAAGTTCGCCGCAATGGGGGGTGTGGAAATGCGCGCGGCCGCTGCCACTGGGGCCTTCGGTGGAGCTCCCTATGGGGCCACGGAACGTGTGAGGGGTTCGCCGAAATTGCGGGTGAACTGCATGCGGGCGCTACCCCTGGGGCCTCCGGCGGAGCCCCTTGTGGGGCCACGAAACGTGCGAGGGATGCACCGACATGGAGGGAACTGCATGCGGGCGCTACCCCTGGGGCCTCCGGCGGAGCTCCTTATGGGGCCACGAAACGTGTGAGGGGTTCGCCGAAATGGAGGGAACTGCATGCGGGCGCTACCCCTGGGGCCTCCGGCGGAGCTCCTTATGGGGCCACGAAACGTGCGAGGGGTTCGCCGAAATGGAGGGAACTGCATGCGGGCGCTGCCCCTGGGGCCTCCGGCGGAGCTCCTTATGGGGCCGCGAAACGTGCGAGGGGTTCGCCGAAATGGAGGGAACTGCATGCGGGCGCTGCCCCTTGGGCCTCCGGCGGAGCCCCTTGTGGGGCCAGGAAACGTGCGAGGGGTGCACCGACATGGAGGGTGCATGCGGGCGCTGCCACTGAGGCCTTCGATGGAGCTCCACATGGGGCCACGAAACGTGTGAAAGGTTGTACCGAAATGGAGGGTGGAATTGCGTGCGGGCGCTGTCACTGGGGCCTTCGGTGGAGCTCCCGATGGGGCCACGGAACGTGTGAGGGGTTCGCCGAAATTGCGGGTGAACTGCATGCGGGCGCTGCCCCTTGGGCCTCCGGCGGAGCCCCTTGTGGGGCCAGGAAACGTGCGAGGGGTGCACCGACATGGAGGGTGCATGCGGGCGCTGCCACTGAGGCCTTCGATGGAGCTCCACATGGGGCCACGAAACGTGTGAAAGGTTGTACCGAAATGGAGGGTGGAATTGCGAGCGGGCGCTGTCACTGGGGCCTTCGGTGGAGCTCCCGATGGGGCCACGAAACGTGTGAGAGGTTCGCCGAAAAAGATGCTGGAACCGCATGCGGGCGCTGCCGCTGGGGCCTTCGGTGGGATTCCCTATGAGGCAACGAACCGTGTGAGCGGTGCACCGAAGTGGCGGCGGGTGCTGCCACTGGGGCCTTCCGTGGAGCTCCCTATGGAGCCACGAAACGTGCGAAAGGTTGTCCCGAAATGGAGGGTGGAACTGCATGCGGGCGCCGTCACTGTGCCCTTCGGTCGAGCTCCGCATGGGGCCACGAAACGTGTGAGAGGTTCGCCGAAATGGAGGGTGGAACCGCATGCGGGCGCTGCCACTGGGGCCTTCGGTGGAGCTCCCTATGGGGCCACGAATCGTGTGAAAGATCGTGCCAAAATGGAGGGTGGAACTGCATGCGGGCGCTGCCACTGGGGCCTTCGG